AACTCCGCGTTGTTTACAGCAATCGAAGGCAATGAAGTCATAAATCTTCGCCGGGCTGCGCAGAGACAGCTCCATTTGTATGCATCGTTCCAGCCTGCGATTCCAGACCCCTCTTCCCCATTAGCGTCCTTCCGTGGGCTGCGCCCGCTCCTCTCTCCCGTCTCCCAGTCCCCCCCCCTCCCTCCCTCTTTCCTGGGAAAACACGACCCGAGTCTTGAAAACTCTCGGAAGAGACGCTGCGCCCGCGAAGCAGCCGAGAATGGACCGAGCTGGACCATGCAGTCGGCTTAATATGGATATGAATTTAGCGGTCACCGGGAAACTGAATGTGTTTTGTGTGTTTTCTTGTGTTTGGCCCGCTGATTCTTAATTTACTTTATTTTACAGAAGCACTTGCACCGCCTCCCCCATTAATAAAGCACATTCGTTTAGAGAAGACGGTATGAGCTGAACAGGCTCGGGACGAGCACTAGAGACCTAAGTATTTAAAAAAATAACTTCTGAAATCGCATGAGAGCAGAAAACATCACGCCAATGGCTGTGAGATCAGAAGATTTGCGGAGGGTGAAGATTCTGGCACGAGGATGGGGGTTGGCGTTGGTGCGTGTCGCAATTTTAGGAGATAATTTTCTGCTACATCCATTCTAACATCTCGCCCCCCCCTCCCCACTCCACTTCACTCCCTATTTTTATTTTCTGTCGGGATCCAGTTACAGCGTCAATTTCCTCTAATCAATGCAAAAAAAAAAATCCTTCTTGATTACATCTCGATTTATGACGCCCCTTACGTCCGCAAACCACCACTGACACCCCCTCTTAACGACCACTAAACGATAATAATCTCAGATGGAATAAAAAAAAATCTGCCGCCCCCCCCTCGCGAGGGAAAACGGAAAACGGAAAACAACACTGTGCTACAGCAGCTCGAGACCGGACTCGGTACTCGCCCAGCCTCGCGCAGCCCCCCGAGCTATGTAGCCTTCGGCTTCGAAATATATATATTTTCAAAGATTATTTTAATTTCCAGTCTGCCACACCCACACGGCAAACGAGGCGTCGGGTTAACTTTTTTTTTCTCTCCTCTTTTTTTATTTATTTATCCGTGCGTGCGGTTGCGGCTGCGGCCGGCTCGAGAGCACATTGTCAGTCGGTGTCCCTCCCAAACCCTCCGAAAGGCTCGAAGGTAAGCGCGTGAGAGAGCCGGCCTGACGCCGCGAGCGAGCAGCGCGCTTTCGCGGAAGAAAAGGGGGAAAATGATTTATTGCCACTATCTCGGTTCAACCAGAGTTCACGGGGAGCCGCCTGGCACTGCGGAGAGGCTAAAAGACGGTCTTGCTCCAGTAGTCTGACGATCAAGAAATTCTTTTTCAATTTCAGGGCAGGCCATCGACAGAGAGGGAGAGAGAGAGAGTATGGAGGAGAGTGGAGGGATGAACAATATTTTTTTATGGCTCTAAAATATCACATTTAGCGGTGAATGAGTTCGTGGGAATGGTTAGGATTGTGTAACTGAGAATATGTAAGTGCTTCGAAATTCAACCGCAAAAGCATCTGGTTTATTATTATTATTAATATTAATATTATTATTATTATGTTGTTGTTGTTGTTGTTGTTAAAGTCGTGTGCGCATACAAGTAAATCGTTGCACTTTTAAGGATTGATAATTATTAATTATTTTTATTTTCACGTATTCGATTTGCCTGGGTTCATACCTGTGCTATTTTTATCCAGAATGCCCTATATATCGAAGCTGACCTAGTGCACGGCTCTCTGTCGAACAGGATGGTGCACCCCGTGGATCACAAGTGTGTGCCGATGTTGTTGAATTGCGTGCTCCTGAGGTTTGCGGTCGCTCCTAGAAATCCTGTGGCTGTCGAGGGAGCCTCCCCTGCCCCGAGCCCGGGATTTAAGAGCAGAATGAAAACGAGGGGGAGAAATGACCCGCAACACAGACGAGAACAAAGATGAATCAGATTTATGACCCCCCAAAACGCCCGGCGCGATGGAAACGAGCTTTAAAGCTCAAATCGTTGTGTTTTCCAGAGCGCGTGGCTGCAGCGAACGAACACTAAACCAATTTGTCCATTTGTGTATTTACTTATTTTACCTAACTAATAACTATTTATTTGTTTTCATTGCGCACTCGAGTGGAGCGATTTTTCATGTAAATGGCGCCCGGTGCAGGGCTGAAGCAGCACTTGTAATATGCATACTGAATACTTCAATTTGACAAGTCTTGTGACAGCGACGCACTGAACTCTAAATAACAAATCGCTTTTAAAGCAAGATTGATTTCGAAAGTACAATCGGACCGAGTTAAGGAACGACTGCTTTCTTAATAACCCAAAAGATGGCTATAATGAATCGTTTCTGTTACAGAGATTGTTGTGTGAGCCTTATTCGCAAAGAAATCAAATGCAGTGCATAACACAATGTGATTGCAGTTGAGGAATGTGTGTGTGTGTATTTATACACTCATGCACACAAGCTGTGTTTTGAATCGTTCCAAGCATTGACTGTGGCTGATACTTCTTCCGCCGTAGAAACACTTAACAGTGATCAGGGGGTTGCTGTGGATCCTGTTGTACAGGACCGCAAAACGCCACATGTTTCTGATCCGATGGGCTCCTGGCAGAAACCTGCGTCTCCTGTTTCAGTTTTCCGTCGTGGCGCTCATGATGAACGAGCGGGAGTGTCGTGTTAGTTCGGCTTAGACCCAGGTGGTTTTACAGCCCGACGGTAACGAAAACAATACGAAAAAAAAAACAATTAAAAAAATAGCGCAAATTGGCATCCAGTGGGGAATTAACGCATGGAATTGTGTGCATTCAATTCTAAAGCAATTAATCTCAAGCGTAGGCCTCTCTATATGCGTACGCCTGTAGATAATTCGTTTCCATTGTGCAAGTATTTTTGGAAAGGGGTGGTCTGTGCTCGCGATGTCGATAATTCCTCCTGGTTTTTCACAGGAAGAAAGTGCTGTGCCCGGTGAAACTGACACACTTTAATGACTGCGTTTCAGTCGAAGGCTTTAGGCATTTGCCCCGCTCTCTCGGAGGCCGGGAGTCTGCTTGGATTTCCGCTACACCTTGCGCTGCAAGGCGAGATGCCGGGAAGGTAAATTAAATGGAGATTATATCTGGAGAGGAGGCAGGGTCGAGTCGGGTTTGCATTCTTGTGCGCTCCATCCATCATGTCGGGAGACTCCGGGCAGTTCTGGCTACCGCACAGCCGCGGCTGAGAGAGAGAGAGAGAGAGAGGGGGGGGTCTGGAGAGGAGTTTTGCCTGAGTTTTAAAGAGAGCAAATCCGCCAAAATGTTATGGCATTAAACCGTTTTTGTTCTGTTTTTTTTTTTACCTGGGATTCAAAGGCGTTCATTTAATTCCCTCCAGTGAGGGATCCAGACGCACGTGGTGTGTGTGTGTGTGCGAGAGAGAGAGAGATCGTGCTCGCTTGGTATGTCTGAGGTGTTTTTGTGTTTGTTTTCTGAAAGTTGCTTGTTTTTTTTATTTGCTAGGAGATCGAACCTGCCCACCTCCCGTTTGTCGGTCGTTGGCTCGCTAAAACGTCCTGGCCTCTCGCCATCGAAAGCCAGTGCATCGAGTCTTTAGTACATATATTATTTTACATGTGCCCGTTAAATATGACGTAAAGATTGTACATTGTCGATGTCAAGACATCCCGGCTGCTAGAAAAAGCAGTTCAGATTACCGGGGGAGTCCTGCGTTTCTTTGGGCTGCTGGTGTCGGACGCGGGTTTTATACAAACTTCTCTTCTTTGTCCGCCCATTGTTGGAAGGAGTTGCTGGAATTTGTCTATCAGGCGAGAAGAAGGGGAAAAAAGCTTAATATTTATTTTTATTAAAACTGCTAGTTCTGAATTTAAATTACCCCCCACCCACCCCCTCAATGCAGGAAGACTGTAGTTAAAATGGCCTTCACAGCGATTTTTAATGTAAAAAATTCGATAGGGCTCTGAAGTAGGGGTAGGTTCTTTTGTGTCCTTCGCACTGTCTGTGCATAGTAATGATTTTCGTTTCCTCTTTGTTCAACCCCACCCTGTGTTTCCTATAAAATCGTTTCGTTTTGAAATACATTTCCTCCTCCGTCTAATAGGTTACACCTCACTCTTAAAAACGTTTGCGTCATTTTTTAATTCAAAAATCCGTAATTTCAGAAACGGGCTTGGAACAAAGAGGGCGAGAGACAAAGCCCGGGAGTTTAACGCGCTGTGCTGTAATTACATCTTATCACAACTGGACAAATTGCCCCGTTAACTTCGTTTAAAGTAGTTGATAAGGGCTCAGCGAGAAATCATCTATCCTTGACGCCCCACGCGTAAAATTATTGGGGACGAAATCTGGAGGATGTTTTAAAATAATCCCGAGATCCGTGTGCTTTAATCCTCAGGCTTTTGCTGCGAACGCGGGATGTTTGAAAAACTTTATAAATCGCGGAGCCTGGACAAAACAAACAGATTGGAGAAGACCTTGTAATAAAAATAACCTACCACTTTTCGTGCGTGCTAAAAACTGGCCCTTTTAAAGTCCAAGGCTATCCTTTCGGTGTCGTCTCGGCGGTTTTGTGAGCCCAGACAAACAAGTAGGCAGGTGTAACGTCAGATGCCCGTCTCCTATTAATTTCTCCCCCAAGTTGAGCTCTCGCAGTACCCAAGCTCGTGATTTTTTTTCTCTTTTTATTCTTATGTAATCGGGTGTTTGTGTGCAGGTTAGAGAGGCTGGCGTGCCCGGTGGAGTGAACGCTGAGGAAGAGCTCTCCATCAGCTTCGCTCGGCGCGCGCCCTGGAACTCCGGCAGCCCCGATCATTGGAGCGCAGAGCCACGTGACCGCGGGAGTTCGCTTGCCCGGCATGTTAAAGGCGTCAGGTCTCCAGCGAGGAAGAAGAAAATAAAATAAATAAATAAATCTTCGGGCGTTGGAAGAAGTAGGTACCCGCAGAGAAGGGAGGGGGGTCACAGCCTTAAAAAAAAAAAAACGACATGCAAAAGGCGCTGTACTACGAAAATGCAGGCCCTTTCTTGGAATACTCGTGCCAAGACCCCACTGCGTTGGGATTCCAGCAACTGTATTCAACTCCCGCGGAGTATCAGTCCCTGACCTACTACTTGCCCGAAGACAACTCGCCATGTGACCCCGGCAGCGACCCCGAGCACAGCGCGGCCCCCAGCGGCTGCCGCGTCCCCGACTTGCCTGAGACCCCTCTCCGCCACCCTCCGCTCACCCCTTCGCCGGACTCCAGCACCACCTCGGCCCAGAGGAGCCCGTGCAGAAGCGCCTCGAACCCGCCCGACCGCAGCCCTGGCGCAGACAAAGCCCGAATCGCCAGCACCTCTTCCTCCAGCACTCATTTGCCCAAACAAATCTTCCCCTGGATGGGAGAGAGGCGCCAGACGTCCAAACAGAAGCACCCCAGTTCCGCTGTATCAGGTAAGGACACGTTCCTGCTGCTGTGTTTCTTCACTCGCCGAAACACCGATAAAATCATTTATTTCTATAAATATGCACTCGATTGGAGTTTTTTCTATTAATACGCACCCGACATTTTTCATACATTTAATTGTATTGTTCCACGTTTGGTCGGTGGCCATATGAAATTGATATGGGGAGCTTTTGATTTTTTTTTTTGCCTTATTTCCAGCATTTACCCTTTCTTTTTGAGAAACACTTCGTTTCCACCTCATGCTTATGCAGTGTTCTGATAACATGAATATTTTCATTATTTGTTGAGTGTTGTCTGGAGCAAGCGACCACCGGCCCTTGGTTAACTCCAGCTCTGTGTCTGCCACACTCCAAAGTGCCAATGACAGATATCGATGAATCTGAAGATTTGAAAAATGGCATTTGCAAAGGTCTCACGCAGTGTGCCGCTTTCTGAGGGCGAATTAAAGGAGGATTTTTAAAGACTACCAGAGAGACGTGTCAGTAGAGGCAGAAATTTAGTTTTGTCTCATTTTTCTCGTTTATTTTTAACTTTCTTCGTGATTCCCCGTCGCAGGGTCAGGCAAGGAGCTAGTCGCTTGGGAAAGACCACCACGTGTGAGATCTAGAGTCAGCAAATTACGAACAAAAGGGCTATTAAATACATTACAATATTAAGGATTCAAATGATTCATCTGCGAATTTTCGAATTATTTATTGTTTCTTTGGTTTAATAAAACTTGCTGTACCCGATTTTTTATTATAAGTAATAATAATATTAGTAATAATAATATTAATAATAACAACATCAATAATAATAATAACAACAACAACAACATCAATAATAATAATTTTACCGTCTCTTTTCCGCCATTTCACGTGTTTCCTAAACAGTACAAGTGAACTTAAATATCAGACCTTAAGAAAAAGGCAAATAAACCAATTCAGAATAAAATAGTGCCTTAAAAACCACACCAGTCCGCCGAGTAAGAATTTCATTGTTTAAGCGGGGAAAATACTACGAGTCAGAGAACTGGCAAGCTGAACAAGCACATTTCCCGAAAGAGAATACCCACGCCGCTGTCCGTGCTCCCTGAAATCTGGGTTTGAAAACCAAAACGACAACAATTAAAACGTTTTTTAAAGGAATTAGTTTCTTTCGAATTATTTCTCATACTGATAATGAAAATGATAATAATAATAATAATAATAATAATAATAATAATAATAATAATAATAATAA